CTAGTTAGTTTGTGTTGCATCAGTATGAACTTCCTGGTTTTGGTAATTTACTCTGGTTAGTTACCTAATAGTCACTATCAGGGGAAGCTGGGCGATAGGTACATGGGCCTTCTCCGTGCTGTTTTGCAACTTCTTGTGAGTCTGTGATTTCAAGATAAAAAGGTGGCGGGGAAGGATTCCAGGCAGAAGGACTGATTTGAGCAGAAGCCTGGAGGTCGGACAGGCAAGGCGAAAAGCCCCAAGGGGCTGGCTGCAGGGAGGGGCTGACCAGTCGGCCCTGCTGGCCCTAGAGGGCACGTTTTCTTCCTCCTGACTCACCTGCACTGCTGTGTGAGGAGGATTCGATGAGCTCAGAGTCATGAAAATGCCAAGCACAGTGACTCGCACGCAGAAAGCACACGCATAAACCATACATTTCAGGAGGTTAGGGGAGCAATCGCAGGGGTAACGGCCTCCTGGACCACACTCTAAATTTGTAAGTCATGTGAGGACTAGGACGTGTGAGTTATTACCTCCATTTTACTGTTGAAGTTGCTGAGGCTCAGAGAGGGGAAGGGACTTTTCCTAGGTCACACAGCTAATAGACGCACAGCTGGTAGATTGTTGACTTGACCTTATGATTCCTAATCCATGTTCTTTCCCAGCCCTGGAAAATAGGCAGGGCTTGGACCACAGACCCCATCCACCTCAAGATTTCTCAGGGAAGGTCTCCCCATTCTCAGGAGACTTTTCATCTTACCCACTGCCAGATTCGCTGTCATGGAACTGGGGTAAAAAAAAAACAAACAAAAAACAAAACAAAACCTTGAAGCTACTTGTGAGTCAGAAGTCACTTCCTGGATGAGTACCCTCTCCGAGCCTCAGTTTCCCCGACTGTAAAGCAGGGTTGATGGAAACCTCCAGAACCCAGGTCTGGGATGAGGCTCCATGAGATGTTGTCTATGAAGTACTTGGGGAAATCTGGGGTTCCTTGGGGGGTGCCAAAGAGCCCCACGGCCATAACTGCTGCTGGGCCTGGGGCCACGCAGGAGCTCACAGGGACAGCAGAGAAAGAACAGAGAGAAGCCCCAGTTTCTGCCCACCATTTTGTAGATTCCTGTGGCTTGACTACCTTTTGCCAGAAAATGGCCGCCAAGGGAGCCTCCAAGAGGCCCGCCTCAGCAGGGAGGCAGCACGGAGGGAGAAGCCATAGGGCCCTGGGGAGGTGTGGACTGGGATCCCATAATAGGAAGGTGATCCCCTTGCTTTCCCCTGGCCTCCACCTGTGTTAGGAGGTGGTGGGGCACATTAGAAGCTCCACCCTATGTTTCCAGGCTTCCTCCAACCACTCCATCATGGCCGAGCTGGGCTGGGCTCTCTGGGCAGTGCTGACAGATGCCCAGGGAGTCTACGCATGGGGCTGGGGGCCACAGGCTGTGTGAGCGAGGAGCTGGGGGCTTCTCAACATGTCTTGGGGCTCTCACCTGAGCACCCCACTTCTAATCTGGAAGTCACCTGCTGAGCGCTGAGTAAAGGAGGACACAGAGGTGAAGTCACTGTGTCCTCACGGCTACACACAAAGCCAAGCATAGCTTTGGCTTTTATAGAAGCACAAACTGATAGTCAGAGAGCTCCAGCCATGTAGCCAGTTGCTGTCAGAATGGGGACCAGAGTCACTTTCTGGTCACCGTGTCCCCCGCCACCCCACTGCCTCTTTCGAAATGGAGCTTGGTGGGGGGAAGGATTTTATCTATGCTTTAGTATAAATTTTGGTAGGGTGCTCACCTTGTCTGGGAGGAGTGCATGGGAGCTGGGCCGGGCCGGGGACAGAGGTGGGAAACCACCACGCCCCGGACGGGGAGGAGGTCCATCCCCCACTCTGCTTGGGAAGATTCACTTGCCCCTCCTTCCATCAGCTGAACTAAAGTAAAGGCACTCTCCAAATGAATTAAACTCCCTGGAGAAATGTGCTGCACTCTGCAGACAGGATTCTAGAAATTTCATGACAGTATCTGGGCTGGAAGAAACCCCAGAGGGCCACCATCTACTCCTGTTTGTCGGAGGAGAAAACCGAGGTGCAGAGTTGGGGGTGAGGTGCCCGAGCTCACGGAGCCGGGGTGGGCAGCCCGGTGGGCGGGGGCCGTAGCGGGGGTCCTGTGTTCTCGCAGCCTTGGGCGGTGGTCCACCGTGGTCTGAGGGGAGCACAGGTGACCGGGGCTCTGAGATGTCAGCTTGGCAAGGTGAGGAGCTGCCTTCCTACACGCACTCTTCCTGCACACATCCATGGCAACCCCGCCCTCAGCCTCTGCCTTCTTTTTCTCTCAGGTTTTTTTTCTCCCCAACATTTTATTTCAACAAAATTTCAGACTGGCTGAGAAGTTGCAAGTTCCATATGCTCTTCACTCAGATTCCCCAACTGTTAACATTTTACCACAATTGCTTTACGTTTTCTCAGCCTAACCGTTTTTTGGTCTGTCTATCTCTTACTTTTGGCCTGAATCATTTGAGAGTAGGTTGTAGACATAAGGTCCCTTTCTCCTAAATACTTCAGTCTGTCTTTTTTTTAAAAAAGGACATTCTCTGATCTAACCACGATACACGTGTCAAAATGGAGTAGCTGACGTCAATACAACATTAATAGATAATCCACAGACCTTTTTCAGATTTTGCCAATTGTTCCAATAATGCCCTTTAAGGCAAAAGAAAATTCTAGTTGGGGTACCATGCTTTAGTCTTGTCTCTCTTTATTTTCCTTTAATCTAGAACGTTTTCTCAGATTTTCTTTCTCTTTCATGACATTGATTCTTTTGAAGAATATAGTCCAGTTACGCTTTTTTTTTTTTAAGATTTTATTTATTTATTTGAAAGAGAGCGTACAAGCAGGGGTGGGGGGTGGGCAAGCAGAGGGAGAAGCAGACTGCTCACTGAGCAGGGAGCCCGATGCAGGGGTTGATCCCAGGACCCTGGGATCGTGACCTGAACCGAAGGCAGATGCTTAACTGACTGAGCCACCTAGGCGCCCTGATAGTCCAGTTATTCTGTGTAATGACCCTAGTCACGGTTGGTTTGATGATTCCTCACAAGTGGTCGTACCTCTTGGGGCAGGAATAGAACAGAAGTGCTTGGTGTTCTCAGTGGGTCGTACCAAGAGGCCCGCCGAATCAGCTTGTCCATCTTGGTGTTCTAATTTTGATTGCTTGGCTAAGGTGATGTCAGCTAGGTAAAGTGACTCTTTTCTTCTTTGTAACCAATATGTATCTTGTGGGCAGATTCTTCGAGACTATGTAAAAATTTTAGCCCCCCTCAAACCTTTACCCACTAGTCCTAACATGATTGATGATTCTGGCCTGAACTGGTTATTATCGGCACCGTTTCTGGATGGTGATCTTATAACTCCATCACTCCTTCTACAAGTTTAGTCACTGACTTGGCTCTCTTTGCTGGTTCAGGGGGTAGGAGCCGATTGGCTCAGTGCCTGGAAGGCTGGCGTTGCTGAGCCCATCAGGTCGGGCCTCCGGCGGCCGCCATCTTCCCGGCCTCAGAGGTTGGAGCTCGGTTCACTCTTCTCTGCTCCCAGGGCCACTTCTTTCCCCACCTACAATTTGTGCCCTTCATTTGTTCAGCTCCAGCTCCAATGTGGGGCAGCATTTTCAGCCACTGAGGATATGGGACAAAGCCTCAGACTTCAAGGAGCTTCTATTTTAGTGGGGAAAATAGAGAAATGAGCAAGCATGTTTTAAAACAGTCTCATATCAGAAAGGAATATGTGCAGCAAGGGAAATAAAGCAAAGCAAGGCAGACGGCGAGTGAGTGGGATGGGGGGTCCCGGTAAGTCTTCCGGAGGCATTTGAGCAGAGATGTGAATGATGAGATTAACGTGGAATCAATAAAGCAAAGCAAGGCAGACGGAGAGTGAGTGGGATGGGGGTCCCGGTAAGTCCTCTGGAGGCATTTGAGCAGAGATGTGAATGATGAGATTAACCTGGAATCCTGAGAGATCGAGAGATCAGGGAGGACCTTCCAAGTGCAGGGAACACAGGCGTGAAGGCCCTGAAGTGGAACGGTTGGTGGACGTGCTGGAGGAGGTTGCCAAGGGGGAGGGAGAGCAGAGGAGATGGGCAGGCTGCAGGTGTTGGCGAGCACTGCTCACATAGGGGCTTGGAATCGAACCCACAGGAAATGGGAAATCATCAGAGAGTTTTAGATATCAAAGGACGTGATCTGATTCACCTTTATGCGTATACAATTGTTTAACAACCCTTGACTATGATCAACTCCATATTTAAACCTAAGTCAGTTTATTAAAACCTAGAAATCTTCTATCACCATCATGCATCTCCAATAAATATTACTTCAGTAAATAGAATATGCCCATATAAACAAAACACTGAAAACACAGTGGCATTAAAGAGCCTGCTACCCAAGCCTGGGTCACTCTCTCCTTGCGCAGAGTGTTGTGTTCGAGGCTGAGCAGCACCACCCCACACTTGTAATCCCAAGCCCTGATGAGCAGCAAAAGGACGATTCCACTTGCCATGGGATTTAGTGCTATTTGATACCCAATCTTAAATTGTCTGGTTTGGGAAACGATGCGCTGGTGGCAGGATCAGGTGGGTGGGGGCAGCAGGGACGGGGGGGCCGTGCTGTGATGGAGGGAAGTGCGGTCTGCGGAGCATCCTCACACCAGAGGCAGTCCGAGGCCAGAGAGCTGCCTCCCACTCCGGCAGTCAGCCCCCAGCTGGCTCAGTCAGCTCATTTTAGCACGGAGAAACTGAGGCTCCCAAAAGGAACAGGATGTACCCAAGGTCCTAATAATGGCCGATCTCAATTCTACTCTCTTTCCTTGCCCCTCCCACCCAAATCCAGCTGAAAATTCACACCCACTGTACACATTCGTCATCCTTATTGTAAAAACGTTCTCACAACCACATGAAAAGAAATCTCACCCAACTCGTCCTTTCATTCTTGAAGGAGGAAGTTTGCAAGTCCCCAGAGCGATGTGGGTGTTTAGTCTCGTCGGCATGAGGGCGGGTGTGCAGAGGGCCATCATGCGGGCTTTGATCGGCCTTTGTCCGGGTGGCTGTGAGAACGTGGACTCTGGGCTCTGGGAGGCGAGCGTTTGATTCCAGGCTCCAACACCTTCTCTGTGGCTCTGGGCAAGTTCCTGAACCCTCCCGAGGGAAAACGGGCACATCCGAATGCCAGCTCCTCTGTTCTTACACTCTAGATGGGCTTTACGCCCTCCCTGAAGATCCTCACAGACCCCTTCCAGCCACCTGCCTGTGTGCGGGCGGCCTCGGGTCCAGCCATGCCAGCATAAGCTGTGAAACGGTTCCAGGCAGCACTTGGGGGGTCAGAGTCTGGCCCTCTGGAAGTGAAGGAGGGGCTCAGGCATGTACCTTGTGAGTTCCCCTCTTCTCCCTCCCAGAATCCCCTAAAAGCTCCCATGGGCTCTCCCCAGCCCCTGCCTCTTGCAGGCAACCTTTGTTACAGGAATGGGTGACTCAGTTTTCTAGAGCTACCATAACTCAGTACCACAGGTTGGTGTGTGAGCAACAGAAATGTATTGTCTCAAGCTCTGGAGGCTGAAAGTTCAAGATCAGGAGGTCGGCAGGTTTGGTTCCTTTTCAGGCTGTGAGGGAGCATGTTCTGGGCCTCTCTGCTAGCTTCTGGTGATTGCTGGCTTTCTTTGCCTCTCCTTGGCTTATAGAAGCTCCATTCCCATCTCTGCCTTCATGTTCACATGGCATTCTTCCTATGTGCATACACCTGTGTCCACATTTCCCCTATTCATGAGGACACCAGTCCTATTGGACTAGCGCCCATCCTAGTGACCTTATTTTAACTTGATCACCTCTGTGAAGACCCTATCTCCAAATAAGGTCACATGCTTAGGTATTGAGATTAGGACTCCAACATATCTTTTTTGTGAGACACAATTCAACCCATAGCAGTGTGTGTGTGTGTGTGTGTGTGTGTGTGTGTGTGGCTCAGGGGTGGAATTTCTGGGTCATGACATGGAAATGTTTTCTAAGGTGGTTGTCCTGACTATCTCCCCCCAGCAATGTACGGAGTCCCTGCTGACCTCCATTCTCAACATTCAGTATTACCCCACATCTTAGTTGTGGACAATCTAGTAGGTATCAGATAGTATCTCCCTGTGGCCCTACTTTGCATTTGCCTGATGACTGTGAGGCTGGATACTTCCTGTAAGTTTATGGGTCTTGTGTGTTTACCGTGAAATGCCTCTTCTGGCTGTTTGCCCATTTTTCTATTGTTTGCCTTTTCCTTATTGATTTATACACAAGCTTCCTTTTGGAGGAGGGTTTCCATTAGGAAAGGTGAGGAGAGGGGAAGAGGAGGGGGGGTTAAGGCAACTTTTCTGGCCTTAAATTTGGAGGACTGACCCGCACAGTTACTCTTTCAGGGGAGAAACAGAAAACCATGTTGGGTCCTCTGTCTCTTTCTGGAATCCGTGGGGCCAGGTACAATTCAGAATCTGCGATGTTTGGATTTCAGAAAGGGGACAAGGTGCCCTTTTGTAGACTTTGTAATGTCACAGCCAGGGCCTGGCCAGGCACTGGAATCAAATACGTTAATATTTCTGCAGGAAAATGTATGATTTTCCACACCATGTGGAATAAACAAAGACTAGGAACCCCTTGCATCAGGTCAGGTCAGGTGTTGCCACCAACAGAATTATGAAAACACTTTCAGTTTGGGGGTCTCTGGGGCTTTCAAACTGCAGTAAGGGATTGTGCATGCACACTTTTAAGTCAGGCCCTGCGGTGCCCCCTTTCTCGGCTAATCCCTTGATTGCTCCACGAAGGTGATATTACCATCACCATTTATGTGGAGAAAGATCGTGGAAGCTCAGCAAGGTTAAGAAATACAAATCCTGGATTTGGACTCACATCAGTCGGACTCCAAAGCTCACATGCCTCCAACTTTGCTGCTGTGCCTTACCCAACCTTTTGGGGGTGACTTCTTGGCTTCTCTGCTCCCCAAGGCTCTGGAGTTTGAAAACAGAGTCACAAGCCAGACAAATGGATTGGGAAGGCAGAATGCAGCTGGGAGTGAGTAGGTGGGAGGTCAGTTGGCTGAGCCAGACCCTCAGCCCAAAGCAGTGGGTGCTGGTGGCCAGAGCCTGGGATGCTCACCTCAAATCTCTGCAGAACTTCCCAAGTGTCCATCATGCTTTGGCACTGATCAAACATTCAGCCAGGCCTCTACTCACCCCAGATTGAAGCCTAAAGGGTTGACACCACGGGGAGAGGCACTGACCAGAGATCTTAGTCTTCACTGGGGCAGGGGCTGAGAAAGCAACAAGTCTTCCCAGTATATAATCAGGGCTCGAGCACCTTCGCAGAGAATGGTGGGGAAGCCCCGTGATACTAGGCCACTGGCAGGGAGAACAAGGGGTGTACAGAGAGTGGTGGGTCACTGCTGCCCTTGGCCATCTCTCCTCCTGGTCCACTCACCTCTGGAAATTTGCAGGTTAGGTCTCCCAGGTTGTCTAAGGCTTGGATAGCTCTTTCCATCACTTTCTCATCCTGAGAACTCCTACTCATCCTTTAAGATCCCTTCTAATTGTCCCCAGCTCTTTGGACTCAAAGTTATTCCCTCCCACCTCTACCTTTCCCAGAGCCCTTTGCTCTACCCCTGGGATAGCCATTAGACCCGACTATAATCAGCCGTGAGTACATCTGTGTCCTCCACCACGGCTGGGGCCTGGCATGGAGTCTGGCCGAGAGTGAAGAATGAATGAAGGAATGAATGAATGCACCTTCTTGGCTAAGGGTTAAGATAGGTGGAAACGCTGGAAGGACTTTCGAGCCACCTCAAAAGCACCCTGCATGTAACTTGTGGAGGGGAGCATGGGGCGACCGTGAAGCCTGGTGGCTAAGAATGTGGGCTTGGATCGGAAGTCATGTTCTGTCCCCCGCCCCCCGAGATGTTCTAGTCCCAGCCTGAAGTCATCTGCTTGGGAAGGGCCCTGGTTCCTTCCTCAGAGGGAGGCTGATGACTTCCAGCAGCTCTGGGTGCCTGACATTAGGGGGGGCCCTTGTCTTAAGGGGGCTTTAGGCCACCTCTGGAAGGTGTTAGCCCCACCACTAGGAGACGGGGAGATTTTCATCCTGTGCCCACACTCGATCTTCATTCACCCAGAAACTGCAGCTCCAACAGCTCTCAGAGACTCTAACCAGAGTCGCTCCTGAGAGCCAGTGGGTGGGGACAGGTCCCCTGGAAAGCCCTGTGTGGCCCAGCAGGGTTTCAGCTTCCACTGAAACCCGGAAACCCAGCCCTGCTCCCCTGCACAGGGGGCCAAGCTCTGGGGGATTTTATTCTTGAATTTCACTCCAGCTTAGCACACTAGCCCCTGTCCTGCCTCCAGGCCTCTGCTCAAGCTGTAGTCCCTACCCAGAATGCCCTTCTGCCTCCTCGCACTGAGGCCACCTGCAGTAGGGAAAGAGTGAACATGGGGGACAAACTTGGATTTGAATTCTGGGTCTGTCAAGTCCAAGCTTTGTGCCCTTGGGCAAGTAACTTCCTCTCTCTGAGCCTCTTCATCAGGAAAATGGGTTTCATGGTAATACCCTCCTCACTGGGCTGTCATGAGGATTCTGTACAACAATGTCTATAAAACACTTGGCACAGAGGAAATCCTTGGTAATTGTGGGTCTGTTCCCCCTGCCCCTGTGAAACACTCCTTGACCATCAAGGCCTGGCCCAAAAATCCCCTCCCCTGCAGTCACTTCCCAGGCTTTCTCTCCTCTGGGTTCCTTGAGGACACCCTTCATGCCACCAGAGAGATGGGAGTTGAGCCAGCTCTTGACATCTGGGCCTCCAGGCTGGGCTCTGGGCTGCAGGCCGGCCGGGAGCTCCCTCATCTCCACCTTCCCGCAGCAGAGCCCAGAGAGGGTCTGGCCATGGCACCATCCCAGAAATGTTGATGGAGGTGAGGTGAGTTACAGAGACTTCTATTAAAAATAATGGTAACTAGGATTTGTTGAGCATTTACTCTATGTCCTGAGGTATTTACCAGGTGGCAATTAAGGCAGCCCAGGAAACCCTCTGTCTGGGTTCAAATCCTGTTTTGCCTCTTATGAGTCCTGTCCTTCTAGAAAGTTCCTTGACCTCTTAGACCCTAAATGTCCCCATCTCTAAAATGGGGACAGTAAGAATACCTTTGTCTGAGCATTATGAAGGAGATGAATTGACCACTATTAAAAACCCATGTAGGCACACAAGAATCATTCACAAATGACACTGATATGACTCGAGCAATTTATAAAGGTTTTTCACCTATCTTGTCTTTAAAAAGACCAACTGTTGTTTTTATTTTCATCACTAAAATTATATGTAATACAAAAGTTACAGAATTTAGAAAATAATTTCAAAAATAAAGAAAAAAACCACACCTGTCATGTTACTGGTAACTATTGTTACTATCCTGTTAAGGAATCTTCCAGATATTTTGTTAGAGAGAAATATTACACACATATAGAAATGAACTGAGAGTGTTTCAACAATCCCCAGGCATCCCCACCGCCCGCGTTTAAGAAATGTTTACATTAAAAAAACAAGAAATGTTTACATTTTTTAAAAGATCTTATTTATTTGTCAGAGAGAGAGTGAGCACAAGCAGGGGGAGCTGCAGGCAGAGGGAGAAGCAGGCTCCCCACTGAGCAGGGAGCCCAATGTGGGACTCGATCCCAGGACCCTGGGATCATGACCTGAGCCGAAGGCAGATGCTTAACCAACTAAACCACCCAGGTGTCCCTTTTTTTTTTTTAAGATTTTATTTCATAATCTGCTTTATCCACCTACTACGTGTATGTGCACACACGCGTCTGGCACATATACACTTTTGTACTCGTTGACTCAGCAAGATCTTGGATACTTAATGTGGGTCAGCTGTTGGGTGTTTCTTGGGATGGGACTTCAGTCCTGGGAGGGTTTTACACCTGTGAGGTGGGGGAAGCAAGCCTGGCATATAATGAGATTTGCCCAACATCCCCTTAGCGTGGAGGAAGCTGGGTTTCGAACCCAGGCAAGTTTGATTCAAGCACCCTACCCAAGACCAGCTGAATCAGAGTTCTAGAGGAGGGACCCGACATCCACCTCCGGCACTCAGTGGTCTGAATTCTACAGGGGATGAAGCAGGTGGGGCCCGTGAAAGGCCCGTGTCGCTGGACTGCTGGGCTCTCTTGGAACCCCATCCTTCCTGTTATCTCTTGGGATTTATATTGAACTACTCATGATCCTCTATGCTCAGTGGAGTCTCGTCTTACCATCT